AGCCAACACATCAGCATCGTCAAACAATCGCAATGAATCCAGAAGTGTTCGATTTGTCGACAACTGAAATTATCTATCAGCTATTTTATATGAAGTCTCCTTCAGTGGTAATTGCCAGTGAACGGTTTCAACTTCTCATGGGAGATTCATTAAAGACATAGGTAATTCGCTAGTCACCAATGCTGACAACGAATGAGCAGATCGGAAGCGCTTTTGGGAACTCTTAAACGAGTTCCTGGGTGGTCAAATTTCGTTGTGATGCAGTGATGGCTTGCAAACACAATTGACCGGACCTAGTATGTATAGCACTGTGGCGTAGCGGCGTGCCTCACACATGCCATGGAAAGCAGACTGGTTTAGCCAGGTTGGTGTGATATCTTTTGCTTTGCCTCCGAAAACACCTTTCAGTCAGTAGTTTTTTTTCATTTTGCTTAAATCAGGTTCCCAGTAAGGGAAAGTAGGGAGACGTAGCCTAGCAGGAACACTTGGGTCAAATATGCGAAGTAACAGATCTAAAAAAGAGACTATCTGCACTTTCTTGATGACCATTTACCATCTAGGTCGAAGGCTAAATAGAAATTTCGATTCAGCTAGAAACATGTCTCCGGATGTAGCTTGGCATTGAATGCTATTCGCATCCGCTCTACCCGAAGAATCGAACCTAGGCATTCTACGCCACCGAGTTCTCTGAACAGCTGTCTCAAAAGAAGTGAAAAATCGCACGGTGTGAATATGACGCCGATATAGTGTGCATACGCTCGCGTTACAGAAATGACGCCAGGTTTATACTCATTCACTTCTCCAACAACCAATGGTGAGACTACCAGTAAACGTCGAATGTGTTATATTCGCATTCAGAGTTCAAACTACTAGAGGCACGTTTGCGGCCAAACTGAGATTTTGTACCGAAATTTAGACCTGTGGGATTGGAAAGCCCATCACAGATGTGCTCCGATTTGATCAGCCACGACACAACGTGAATTATTCTGGGTGCGGTGGATAATTTGGTAAAATGTCGAAAAACTAGCTGAAAGCCCTGTCCGTCGGAGACAAGGCAAGTTGTCGTCGCCATCTGGGGAAAACCCTCTTTTTGCTATGAAGGGAAAAGCTTAGCAACTGGGCTTGTGTAGCCTAGAGGCCAAATGTGCCCATGAGCTCTCATTGCTTTCACATCGAATTTGACCACCAAAAACCCGTTAAGGAGATTCCCGTGGCATTTCGATGTCCATATTCGATCGAAATACATGGTTCTTCATTGAAAGCTTCACGGGAACTCAAAACTACTCCCTTGTTATCTGTCACGGGTTCTTAAAAAAATGAAACAAAGAATTTCTATCTAAAGACATCTATTATTACATTGCCATCATCGTCGTAGATTAGAGACAGGAGTCGAACGAGCTCGGGTTCTTGCGCAGCCAGCGACGACGCTCTGAAATTTCAATATTTTCGTTCTGAAAAATTTTATCTTCTGAGGATTGTGAAGTGCATTTCGCGAATGAAAGAAGGCCCTCAGTTCAGCTCCCAGTTGCAAACAAGGAAGCATTTCCAGTCTTTCCAACACGTTATAGGAATCGGGATGGAAAAGGCACATTTCGCTTTTGTGTAAGGAAAGAAAGTGCTAGTTGCAGTGCACTTTTACCAGCTTCGCGATAGAATGTTGTTAGATAAAGACGTTGAGACTAAAGATTGCGTAATTGCTCTATTTGAACACAATTAACGCCGCCCACGTTGGAGTTTGTCGCCTTATATGTTTCAGAGTTCTCTCGCATTAATAATCCCACTATGGCACGTCCAGTCGTTGGGGAAACTTTTGCGAAATACGTCCACAACTTTCATAAAATCTCCTCTCTCCCTCCTGTTTATCAAACTCCCAAAACCCCTATCCTCCTACCACTCCTCCGGAGTTTTCTCTCAGACTGGAAATTCTCCATTTTGCCTAAAAGCTTGAGCCGAGGGAAAGTAGCTCTTCTGAAAAGCGAAATACTAGGAGAAGTCAACACAAACGAAGGAAATCTTTCTCAAAAGCCAAATACGACCATGCGCGCTGGGATTGCCAGCTTCTGAGTTACCCTGATTCCCAAAGAAACAGTTATAAATCAGTTGCAAGTGGAGGACCCTAATGAGGAAAGTTCTCTGCTCGTAACCTAATTAGCACAACCCCTTTTGCTTTTGAACCCCGCTATCTTACAATTGCGAAGTGTGCCCTCCGGTAATGGGTAGGGAGCTATACTCTAGTTCGCTGCGGACGGTTGGGCGTGTCAGGCAGTATGAGTGTGTCACGCCGTCAAAGCCGTTCTCTGCCTTCTTTGAAGCGCGCATGCGACAACCAGTGGTAGAAAACGAGTAATACGAACGATATGATACAGTCTTATCACTTGCTCGCTTTAACACTGGTGGAGAACGGGTTTGGCACCGCGCCAGACTCATCCCGCCTGACATGCCCAACCGTCCGCAGCGAACTACACTATAAGAATATTTGCAAGGAAATCACCATAACCATGAGACTTCGGCCACTCACTGGACTTCTTACCTTATTTGCATTTTATTGCAGATGCCAATGGAAGGAAAGTGCATGTGTTGAGGTGATTCATAGGAGCGTTGCGTTGTAAGTGGATTTCTTCGAAATAAACTCAAGATGAAGTTTAGTTGAGGCTGATGAATCTCCTCAAACTCACCTGATGAAGTAGTAAGCTATTCGCTCACATACTTGGTATACAGTCAAACCGACGAAGAAGGTGAGAACAAGCGCCCATAGCAACCTGAAAACATGATCTCTGCCTAGTATATAGGGGCTTACTGAGCTGACTATCTAGTATGACTTTCAAAATGAAGATGGCGATCACCTGAACCAGGTCTTGTACCGAGTGTGAAGGTATCTGAAGCCTAGCATTGAAGTGTCCTCAGCGAAGCGGTTAACTGTCGGCTGTAGTTGCCTGACCTGTTCTTCGGTTCTGCGTCTTCGAGGCATTGCATTCGCGATAGGAACTTGCTGAACGAGATCAGTAAACTGGTATGCTAATAATAGAGAAATATAAAGCTAGGAGAATTACGAGATAAACCACATGAGTGCGAGTTTGTGGAAGCGAGTCTCTGAAGGAAAACACAGCAAGGCAAAAAGAAAAGGCAAGGAATTCCAAACAACCCATGTAATAGTAGGCGAAGGGCTGGAATCGCCTACTGCCTGACGCGACCACTTCTGGATGGCGATTCTTGACCAGACTAACAAGGTCTTCCGCCGTTCATCCCCAGGCAAATAAGGATAAAACTTGGTTAGTCAAGATGAAAACAGACCGGAACGCTGCCCGTTTCCTCCTACTCATGATACGTATAGGTCTACGAAAAATCAAACTTCCGATAGGGGCATTTAGGCAGCTCATGTTAAGAGGGATTAATTGAAATGTACGACTCTTTACCGCTCACTGTTTAGAAATAGAGTACAGTATTCGCCACTCGCCATTCCCTCTTTTTGGTTTTTGGCCTACGAAGAGAAGGTCGTATTAGTGAAGATTAGTCCTTCATCGCCTCCATTAGAGGTAGCAAGAATAGAGATGTTGGTAATACTCAAGACAGGTTTGGTATTCCGTTCACAAAAGTTAAAGAATTAATCGCGAGGGGTTCTGAGTTTTTATAAAAACAGAGAAGTAACTGGTCAAGCATATGATCTTTCGCAAAGTTCTGAGTTAATGTAAGTGACAATACTTGCGGGCAAGCCTAATATGCTCTTTACAGTGATTTCGCAGAAAGACTCTTTCGTTTGAGTGTGGATAAAAAGTCGTCCAAAATGTGTATGGCTTCCCCACTGGCGATTCTACCTACATTGGGACACCTCCTTGTTGGGCAGGTTTGTGCGTGCGAACGAAACAGTACGTAATACGAGAAAACGGCCACGTTGGCACTTGGACTGCAAGTCCGTTCTCTCCAAGGCAGGCTTTGGTTACGTACCCTTTCTCTTGCGATCACGACTAAAGCATTCGT